ATGATAGTGGCGGTGGTGGCGATGGAGATGGTGGTGGCAGCGACAGTGGTGGTGGCAACAGCGGTGAGGGTGATGGTGGTAGAGATAGTGATGAGACAGTTTTAAACATAATTTTTAAAAAAAAAATATTTATGAGAAATAATTTATAGAAGTATTTTTAAAAAATTACTCCAAACACATACTTAGGGGCTTATTTTTCCTATTAAATTTAAGGTGTTAATATTAACCGTCAAATTAACTTTAACGTAAAATTTAAAACGATTTCAACCATAAATAACAAAAATTATTTTATTTATCTTTTGAGATTTGAATTATAAGTTACTTTATTATATAAATATTTTTTAGGACCTATTTATTTCGAAAGCAATATTATTTTTTAAAGGTTAATAGCTTCAGATATTGAATTATCGTGAATGTATTAGTAGTGTGGTGTATTTACTATTTTTTTTCCTGATGAGTTTATTGTGTTTACAAGTTCTAAGGTTATCCTTATTACTAAAGCAACATTGTTTATACTCGAACATAAAAAAAAAATTGATAATGCAATGTGTTAGAACGGTGCCTTTGTCTGTGATCTTTAATAGTGAGCAAATGGGTTACTTTCATTCTTGGTAGGGGTATCCGACAAAGAAACCTTTTGTCTAATCTTTTTTATTTTTTTATATGTGCAGCGGAGTTGTTCGCTTTACTTAAGGATGCTGAAAGAATTAACTCAGTTATTGGCATTTCAATCGAAAGAAGAAGTCCCAAAATCTCCTATCTATTTTTTTTTTGCGGATGACAACTTGTTGTTTTTCAAAGTAAAGGATTTATGGTACAGCTTCGGGACAACAAATTAACTTAGAAAAATATGCAATGGTTTGCAACAAGAATGTCCGAATGGGAGTAGCTAAAGAGTTGGGTATAGTGTTAGGTGTGGCACGAGTTCGACAACATGAAAAATACTTGGGGGCTGCCTTCGGTGGGGTGGGCAAATCCAAGAAAAAGGCCTTTGCTAGCATTCGGGAAAGGGTATGGAAAAAACTCCGAGGTTGGAAGGAACAACTTTTCTCCAAAGTGGGTAAACAAATTCCAATAAAGGTTGTAGCTCAATCTATCCCCACATTTGCCAGAGGACACATTAAGTTACCTGAGTATTTTTGTGTAAACACTTGTGAGTCTTTAACTTCAAATATCTGGTGGAGCCAAAAGGAAGGGGAAAGGAAAATACATTGAATAAAGTGGGCTGATATGTAAAAGACAAAAGAACATGGTGGTATGGGATTTTGAGATTTGAGGACTTTTAATATGGCTATGCTGGCTAAACAAGCATGGAGAGTCCACCACAAAACTCACACACTCCTCCATAGAGTCTTGAAGGCTAGATATTTTCCATCAAAATCTTTTATGAATGCTGAATTAGGGCACATACTATCTTACACTTGGCTTAGTACTATTTTAGAAGGTTGAAAAATTATAGAGTTGGGTTCTAGGTGGACAGTTGGTGATGGGACCAAAAAAAATAGCATTTGGCATGATTGTTGGATTCCGATGCCAAATACGTTCAGAGTTGTTACTTCAAGGAATATAATAAATCAAGATGTTAGGGTCAATGAGCTTTATTGATCCACATAATCGTTCTTGGAATGGGCAGCTGATTGATCAAGTGTTCCTATCTCATGAGGCGGAGATAATTAAATGTATCCAACTTTAAAGACAAGCTGATATGGTATTATAATTCAAACGTTAAGTTTTTAATCTGAAGTGTTTATCGCCTTGCCTATGTATGCGAACTTTTTCACTCAGCACATCTTGTCACCGAACCGAACCATCTTCTACTAATGGGATTGGGGGTGGAAGTTCATTTGGAATCAGAATTTACCAACAAAAATCAAAATTTTTATTTGGAGGTTGTCTTTAAATGCTCTACCTATTAATGCGGCTAACTACTGAACCCTAATCGAGACTCTAAGACTTGAATTCTCAGCTTCTAAATGAGAACTAACATCGATACCACCATTAGATTATCTTGCCTAGTGGTGTGCTGATGTGAACTTGGTGGTGTGTTGATGTGAACTTAACCGAATAAAACTTTATCCAAAGTTGAATTAAGTTTTTTAGAAGAAAACTTTACCTTTAAGAATAACGATAGTAGAAATGAGGAATCCCATCGCAAGGACTTTCATTTCATGTCCCATATTCATCTAATTTTTTAGGTTAAATTACATTTTTACCCTCTCAATTATGAGTTTTTTTTCCACATGATCTCCTCAATTATCATGTTTTTTATACTATATTTTCAACTATGTCATTAATTTTACAAAACTGCTCCAAAAATTAATGTCCTTCACAAAGTTGACAAAAAGTTATTTTATTTTATCTTTGAATTATATTATTATTTTTACTTTACTTCAACACTTTGGAGATTTTTGTCAACAAATATAACGGGTATTTGCATTGGGACGGCATGAAATACTTAAATGTGAAATAATTCAAATAATTAAGGGGACGCTATAAAAATTTCAATAATTTAAGGAGTAAAATAAAATCAATTCCATAGTTAAGGGGTGAAAGTGTAATTTACCCAATTTTTTATTGTGTCGAAATTAGAAAAGTGAGACATCCCAATCTGGAGAGTGACGTGAGCAATATTAACGGTAGGAGAAACCAGAGCGACGGCGTACTGACACATCCACCCTCATATTGGTCCAAAGCCATGTGATTCTACCACGTTTCTCGATTCCTTTGTCATTGTGGTCCCTACCCCCGCATCCCCCCTTCCCATGGCCCCACACCTCACTTTGCTGTATTATTCCGTTCCCTTGTGTTGTGACCCTTTTGTTGGGACTTGCCCCCCCATCTAATTAGCCTATTTTAAGGATCTTATAATTCTTTTCCGAGGATCATTACATCATCAGGTAAAAAATAAAAAATATTTAATAAAACGGTAACACACATAACTAATTTATACAGTATATATTTTTCCCTTACGGGGAGAGAAACAAATATATTATTTTTCCCTAAACAATGTATTAAAATTTATATGATTTAATTATTATTTACAAAAACTAAATAAATAAATTATAAGCATCTTAGTATCTAAGTAATATATATATATATATATATATATATATATATATATATATTTTGTATTCATACAAATTCAACTAACTAAATTTAAATTCAAATCAAAATCAGATTTAAATGTGATTACGATATATCCTTTATTATACATTTAAAAATCTGGTTGGATAAGATTCTAGGTTGAATTACTCCACAATTATTTGATAATAAAAAAAATTCAATCACCATCTCAATGCAAGTAGGGGTCATATGTAGCTCAATGTACATTTCAAAGTAACAATATTATAATTTTACATTCTTTTTATAATTTATCCTTACGAATTTTAGCCCACATTGACTGATGCCATCCAATTACATAGTTCCAAACATTAAAGAGCTGAGTAACTCTTCATATTTACTAGTATATTATCTACAAAATAAGTACCACCCAATTGCTCCACTTGTGTCGTTACACTTCATATAACTACTCTCTACCACCCAATGGCTCCGGTTGATGAGTCCACTTCAAAAATAATGGATGAATGGAGTGTTAATCAATTTTTGTTTTTTTTAATAAATAAAAATTAGAATCAATTATAATATAAGAATTTTTATTAAAAATAATAAAGATGCGTACATATTGGAAAGAGTAAAAAATTGAGACATTTTACTCTTTAGTTTATATGTTATGCCCAAATGATGCTCGATGAAATGTGTGAATGAAAATTCAATCCCTGCCATGTAGAATTTGGATGATGAGAATGGATAGTAACAATGAAAATTCGTGACTGTGTCATTGTTATTCTCATTACTGCTATTATTGTGTCACTATTATTACCACTATGTGTTACTGTCGCTGCCCATTTTATAATATTGCTAAACATCTCATTAGGAGTAAATTAATAATTGTGACTGCAATTGGGCCCAAAAAAATGGCCCCTGGACTTTGTGGCAAAAAAAATTGCTACAATGGACTGGCCTCCAAAGAGTCCACAAAAGAAGGTGGGAAGGAACAAATAGAGAATAGATGGGCTAATGCTAAAGGAAGTTTTTTCACTTGCTTGGCCCAATTATGAGCATCCTGGTTAATATGGGATGGATCAAAACGGAGTTTGGGTTGATTAAGTAAGGTGAGTCATTTTAGTGTTTTATTTATCAGCCTAGTCCATTGAATTGTTTGTTTCTTATTGCCAAGGATTTTTCCCAAGTTCTCTTGCATTGAACAATCTATCTTTGTATCTTGTGAATAGGGGCATTTAATCCAGCTAAGCTCAACTTTTGAGTTTAGAACAATTTGGAAAAAAGCTTGGGATTATTCCAAGCTTTCGACTGTTTTATGTGGAGCAGTGTAGGATATGCCTGTTTTACCTAATTTTATTATTTTAATCCTAATTTTTTGTTAATTTAAAGTATTTGGTCTTGAAAATAATAAATAAAATAAAATAATATTATATAAAATATGGGTCATTTGATGATTAGACAAAATAGAGAGAAAGAGATAACTCAAGTGGTAACATGAACAAACTTTAAGCTTAACAATTATGACTTCGAATTTTGACAATCCTTTAGAATCAGACTATGAGATAATTATATTTCATGAATATCTTAATTTCGACGTAAATGACTTATTTTTTATCAGATCGAAGAATAAATTAATTGAAGTATACGAAAATTGGTCTAGAACTAACATATAATAAAATAAGGAGAGATAATACCGAAAAGTTATTCAAGGCGGCCTTCCATTTTGTTGGGTGAAACCTTCAATGATCTCCACAGTGCAAACAAAACAATGCTCTGCATATTAGCTTCAGAAATTCAAACAAATAAAGACGGCAATCCGCGTTGTGTTCTTTGACATAACCGCATTATGCATTTGTCTTGTTTCCTTCTCATTGCCTCTTGTGAAATGGTCTATATACACACAATCCCAAATATAATAAGAATCCAAATTCTTAAAAATGGTCAATGAAAATGCCGCCCAAGCACTTACCATCAGATTATTGGATGGGTGGGACTGGGTTCTAAGTTTATCAAATTTATCTGATGGCACATTGATCATTTGTAATACTGCCACCGATACGCCTCAAATTTTTCTGAGTTATTGGCCTATACCGTGTGATCTTCAACCATGATCTACAGCCAATAAAATAAGCAATCTTCTCTGTTTTTGAACTTTTTAACTGGTTGGACCTGAGCACCAACCTGACTAAGAAACAATTCCATATGGAAGATCAATTAACATTACCTTGTCAAAGCAACAAGACCAATTCAGCTGAAGTCTCAGACACCCCCTTGTATATGATTTTGACCATGTTATTGGCATATTTGAACTACTGCTAGGCCTCTTTTAGAACTTTCAAACCTCAAATCTCAATCCCCTCCTTTCCTTGCCATTGCAACCATGTCTCTCTCTTCCTCTAGATCATTCCAATGGCTTCCTGTTTATAGCATCATCACCTTCATGCTGCTATTTCTTCCACAATCAAACTCAGTTTCCTTCAACTTCTCTAGCTTCCAGCCCAACACACAAGGTATATTCTATCAAGGTGATGCATTCCCTTCAGGTGGAGTGATCCAAGTCACCAAGAATCAGCGTGATGGTTCTCTGACTAGAAGTGTTGGCCGGGCCTCATATGCTACTCCCATCCAAATTTGGGAACGCAGGACCCGGAAGTTAACAGACTTCACCACTCACTTCTCCTTTATCATAGATGCTCTTAATTCATCTTACTATGGTGATGGACTATCTTTCTTCCTTGCACCCTTCCAGGCCGAAATCCCTGCCAATTCAGTTGGAGGGTACCTTGGCCTATTCAATGACAGTTCTGCTTTCAACTCCTCAGAAAATCAAATTGTTGCTGTTGAGTTTGATAGCTTCCAAAACTCTTGGGATCCGAGTTCGGATCATGTTGGTATCAATGTGAATTCAATTGCCTCTGCATCCACTGCAATGTGGGAAAATAGCATTAAGACTGGAGTGACAGGAAATGCTTGGGTGAACTATAATTCCAGTACTAAAAATTTAAGTGTTTTTCTAACTTATGCAGAAAATCCAATCTTCAATGGGGGATTTACCCTCTCATATGCTGTTGATTTGAGGGATATTTTGCCAGAATGGGTCAGTGTTGGATTTTCGGCTGCCACGGGTGAGTGGATCGAATTGCATAACATTCAGAGTTGGAGTTTCAGCTCTACCTTGGACCCTGGTGGTACTAGTAGGAACCAGAAAAAAGGGTGGGTGATTGCTCTGATTGTGGGTGTTGGTGCATTGGCTTTTGGGTTGGGCCTGTTTTGGTTTATCCTGTGGCGAAAGAGAGCTACTGGAATGGACAAAGACATGGCCTGGGATGTTGCCATGGACGATGACTTTGAAAAAGGAACAGGGCCTAGTAGATTCACATTCCGGGAACTGAGCCGTGCCACGAATAATTTTTCAGAGGGAGGAAAGCTTGGAGAGGGAGGGTTTGGAGGGGTTTATAAGGGATTATTAACAGATTCCAACACAGAAGTGGCTGTCAAGAGGGTATCGAGAGGATCGAAACAAGGGAGAAAAGAGTATGTATCAGAAGTGAGGGTTATAAGCAGACTGAGGCATAGAAATTTGGTTCAACTTATAGGTTGGTGCCATGAGAAAGGTGAATTCCTTCTTGTATATGAGTTTTTGCCCAATGGAAGTCTTGATACTCATTTATTTGGTGGGAAGGACAACCTTGCATGGACTGTGAGGTACAAAATAGCCCTTGGTTTGGCCTCTGCATTGCTCTATCTTCATGAAGAGTGGGAACAATGTGTTGTTCACAGAGACATAAAGTCAAGCAATGTCATGTTGGATTCAAATTACAATGCAAAGTTGGGTGATTTTGGGCTAGCCAGGCTTGTGGACCATGAGTTGGGCTCACAAACCACGGTCTTGGCTGGCACAATGGGGTACTTAGCCCCAGAATGTGTTACTACAGGAAAGGCTAGCAAAGAGTCTGATGTCTATAGCTTTGGGGTTGTTGCTCTTGAACTAGCATGTGGGAGAAGGCCGGTCGAGCTGAGGGCCGAGCCGGCTAAGGTGAGGCTAGTGGAGTGGGTGTGGGATCTGTATGGGAGGGGACAACTCCTTTCAGCAGCCGACAACAGGTTAATTGAGAAGTTTGAGGAGCGTCAGATAGAGTGCTTAATGGTGGTTGGGTTATGGTGTTGCCATCCTGATCACAATCACAGACCATCGATGAAACAAGTGATTAATGTTCTTAATTTTGAAGCCCCATTGCCAAGCCTTCCATCAAAACTGCCCGTGCCTATGTTTTTTGCACCCCCGATGCATATGTGTAGGTTTTCTTACACATCATCCGGCGGTCTGACGGACTCAGGGAGGCATCGGAGCCAATGTTCGTGTAGTAGTTGCAGCACGCAAATGTCTGTGGGCTCTTCTAAAGCTCTTCTACAGTTGCCTGAAGTTCATGTGTAGCTAAGAAGGGCAATTGATTTCCTCAGCTATGTGTGCAGCTTGAATGTTTTTACAATCTTATTATGTGAAATTACAGGGTTGGTTTAGTTTTTTTTTTTTTTCGTTTTAATTTTAATGGTGTAAGTAATTATATGGTTGATTTTTGTTGAAGCCATGTTTTAGCTGAAGGAATATTAGCTTTTCATTGACCAAAGAATTATCAAGAAATCGAATGATTGTAATGAGTTAATTGTTTTTTGTTTACGCTCTTAGGTTGCGAGACAATTATGAGGATAACTAATACTCTTTTGGTCCGTCGAGAGTAATGGTTTAATTGTATGGGTTAATACACACACAATTTACACTCTTAATTTTATAATACACACGATGCACCACCACCGCTATTGTGTCACTGCTGCCACCACCATCACCACTACCACTGCAACTGTCACCACCACCATTGTGCCATCATTGCCACCGCCGCCACCACCACCACTATTGTGTAGTCACCACGACCACCACCACGACCACCACAACCATTGTGTTGTCGCCACCACCACCGTTATGCCACTACCGCTAGGTGGTGGTAGGAATAAGGTAGTTGTGGAGAGATGGTTAAAAAAAATGACAAAATTAGAATAATAATAATTTTTAAATTTTAGCTCCTTATATTTGTCAAACAATTTGATTCAATTTAATACTTAAAAAATTCAACACTTAAAATTCAATATTCAATTTTCATTGTTCAGTTTTTAGTTTTATTAAACATCACCTTAGACAAATATTTATGTTACATTACTCTATAATAATAACCTTTTAGATTGAATGATAATTAAACAAGAGGTGAAACCGCCAAGGCTAAAATCCTTACTCTTTTTCAGGAAAAGTAACCACACAATATTATTTAATTATAATTAGTTGGTTTAATTCATTGATCTAATTTATCATAATGGTTTGATAGGTTGTGATTAGTCCTAACAAATATTGGGGGCCATTGTGAGTTCAATGACGACGATTGATTATGTCAGTAAATTAAATATAAATAGCACTACTCAAAATATTGATTTCTAATTTTACCCTGTTATTCTTGCTTCTAGGGATATCAATTTTGGACAAAAGCAGATTCCAAGGGCAATATTTCAATAAAAGGAGTCATTGCTGGAAATTATAGCTTATTTGCATGGGTACCTACATGGTTTTACTGGGGATTGCATATACATCCTAATGTCACTATCCGACCAGGTATTAATATCAGAGTCCTAACATTTGGTTCTTAAGAAATCAATGAACAAAAATAATATAAAAAAATTGGGCAGGATAGTACATGAGTTTCGGTCATTGCAGAGTTTGGAGAAGGGCATGATAATAATTAACTCTGCATGCACAGCGAGGTTGTTTCGATGACTGAACCTGTGACGCTCTAAGTCATGGTGAAATAACCTTATTGCTATGCCAAGATTGCATACAAGACATGGTGGTGCATACGTCTGACCTGATTTCAATTACTTGTATTGTTTTTGACTCATAGGGTTTAAGCAATATGGGCTGTGGAATCCTTATGCAGATCTATATCCTCACAATGATCTGCAATATACAGTTAGCAATGACAGTTATAAAACAGATTGGTTCTTTGCTCATGTTACCAGGTATCTTTGCAATGTCGTTGCTCAGTCGTTGGCCTAATTACGCATCATTTCTCTGGGACATGACATAACACTTCACTCCTTAATACTTTGAAAACCTTTCATATAATCTAAGGGTATCAATTTGTATCTTGCTGTGTTATCTTCTGAGTTGTTATTTTTGGACATTGTTATTCTTATATTAATATTAATCCAACTCATATATTATACGTATTTATACTTCAGACCAAAAGCCCTTTTTCTTTTTCTTTTTTAAAAAAATTTTATTATGTTTTTGCTTAAAAGATTTCTACAAATTAAAAAATCTACTTAATGCTGGAAAGGGCATAGAGAAAAAGAGATTGGTTTATATAATTTAGTAGGGCCCAGGCTTAGATTTTTTCCCCCTAGGTTTGCAATTTTATGAGATTTTTTTAAAAAGGATTTGCACTTTTACGGGGCTTATTCCCAAATTTATTATTGAAATTACATCCAAGTGTTGGCAATAAATGATTGAATATTTCCTCATATCATAATGTGAAAAAGAATGTAATTAACCCTTTTTCATTCTTAATGTGAGCATGCTGCTCACCAATTACCCTTAGTATTGGATTTTGGATCCACACTTGTTCATATTGCACATATGTAAAAAAGCAAGTTCTATTGACTCTTTTCTTAATCAACAAAAGCAAGAAAATCAGATAAAAGTTGCAAAAAGGGAAGCAATCTGAGTGAAGTATAGGTAGATTTGCCACCTTTTTAAACCAGATATCTTTCCTAAGTTGACCATGATTTAAAATAGATTGACAATATTAATTACCCAAGTTATTTTAACACCTTGATCCCATCTATAAAAAGGTGAGCCAACACCATGCTCTCCCAGAAATCCCTGGCCTTACACCTCATAGGATCGTCCTCACCAAAAAGAAACCAATATCCACTTGGTAGGTTTGATTTTTCATGTTTTTGTAGTTCAAATTAGCTTATACTNAAACCAATATCCACTTGGTAGGTTTGATTTTTCATGTTTTTGTAGTTCAAATTAGCTAATACTATATACACAAGTCTCGAGTAGAGAGTAGATTTTCATGCATCCGTTTTTTTTTTGGGAAGGAAAGGGGACTTGAATTCTTAACTTCTAGAAGACAAAGTCTTTACAAGATAAAGAGTACCAGTGGACCAAAGGTCCATTGATGCATACATCAGTAACATTAATTTATTGTGACGTGTATAACAGGTTCGAATTATGAAAACAGTTTAATTGTAAACAGGATAAGACGGCGTATATCTCACTCTATCCAAATAAGAACCGCGTCCACTTGAATAGTTACCCCTTTATGCTGATTGTTTTGACTGTTTTGATGTCGGTATTGTCAAAATGCTTCATCAATTTTTCTCTCCAGGACCAAACTTGTTCTTTAGTTTTACCTGAAAAACAAAGAAATCCCCAAGAACAACTATGAAAGTGTCTGAAATTCAATGGTTGTGAAAAGGAGACAGCCTATAGTGAAGCCGTTAGTTAAAGAAACAAAACCGTTAATATTTAACAATGAGGTCATTCAATTCACGTTAAGTCTGCATTACATGCAGTTTCAAAAGAACAGACTTTGGTCAAAAATATTAAACTCAAAAAGTAAGCTTTAGTGGAAATGGAACTGCCTCTTTATGGCACCATACATTTTAGACGAGTCAATCGTATCAGGTGGTGCGAGTTCGTCTCAAAAAATAATCAATTCATACCTATCGTGTTATATTGGGTTTGTGTCGTGTATAACTAGTATACAAATAAATCGTGTCGTGTGTTTTTTCTGATTAACTTCATCTATACCGATTCATTTATTAATCATGTTATGGCGGGTCCACTCGTTTATTATTTTTTTTTTTAATCCACTCGTTTACTAAACGTGTGGTTTAAGAAAAACTCAAACCCTCTAATTTTGTGTCGTGTTAATGGTCGTGTCATATTTTGACACTTTTCCATTTATTGATAGTCTGTGTAATAAAAAAAAAATTCTAGGCTCCTCTTAACTTTAAAACTTGTTACTTTTGATAAATTCCTTTTTTTATTAATTTTTTTTTTATCCTGATATTATTTTCTGGTCTCTGCAATATATTCCCAGTTTATATAATTATGTACANAATTCCTTTTTTTATTAATTTTTTTTTATACTGATATTATTTTCTGGTCTCTGCAATATATTCCCAGTTTATATAATTATGTACAGTACAGAAAATATTAATACTTTAGGAGGCCCAAGTGAAATGTTATATAACATTTTTATTATGTTTTTAATACTGATGCATTTCGACGAAACGAATTCGTTCAAGGAGTGTCCATATTTCTTGTTTTTGTGATGTGGGACAGAAGGTTTTCTTGGTCAAAATGGAGAGAAGAGGGAATACTAGGCAATGGAGTTTGCTGATTGGATTAATATGCCTGCTTCTTCAGTTCTTCTTCTTCCTCTCTAACAGTGCAGATCACAATGGGTAAGAATGGCAAAAGCTTTATTGTTTCTTTTTTTTAGGGAGATTATACTTTGACCTTTCAAATGTGTGTCCAACCTCGCATTATCCTTTCTACCATAGGTTTCTTGTATTGCATCTTTAATTATACTTATTCATTCTACCATACGCCTCAAGATTTCTCTTATGGTTTCATACTTTTTCCATAGTTGATACTAAAAACAAGTAGCTTACTACACATTTGGACATTTTTTTGTTCAAATAATGTGAGATGTTATGTTTTTGGGCAAGGTAAAACCAAATAAAGTATTTNACATTTGGACATTTTTTTGTTCAAATAATGTGAGATGTTATGTTTTTGGGCAAGGTAAAACCAAATAAAGTATTTGAGAGGACAATGCAAGATATTTCATAGTTGAGGAGGTAAAATAAGATTTGGGTATGGTGGAAAGAGAAAAATTATAACTTGTCCTTCAATTTATGACTAACTTCAATGGTTTTAATAAGATTTTTTTTGGATTAATAGCATTTTTAATCCTTAAAATATGTATTTTTAGGCAATTTGGTTTTTATTATATCAATTTAGTCTTTAAAGTATACAATCTATATCACTTTGATTTCTAATCAGGCAATTTTTTAAATTTTTTGACAGAAGTGATCACGTATAATTTTTTTGGACGATCTCACGTTCCCAACTATGAGCATTTTATCAAAAATTAAATGGTCTGTCTACGTAAGAACTAAAGCATTTTATCAAAAATTAAATGGTCCGTCCACGTAAGAACTAAAATGACACAAATAAAGTATTCTAAGGATCAAAATAAAAAAATTAATGCAATAAAAAATAAACTAATAAAAAATATATAATTTTGAGACCAAAAATATTATTATTATTTTTTTTCCTTGCTACTTACGCACTTTTCAATTGGTCAAACCCGTTATTGGACATTCNTTCAAATAATGTGAGATGTTATGTTTTTGGGCAAGGTAAAACCAAATAAAGTATTTTAGAGGACAATGTGAGATATTTCATAGTTGAGGAGGTAAAATAAGATTTGGGTATGGTGGAAAGAGAACAATTATAACTTGTCCTTCAATTTATGACTAACTTCAATGGTTTTAATAAGATTTTTTTTTGGATTAATAGCATTTTTAATCCTTAAAATATGTATTTTTAGGCAATTTGGTATTTATTATATCAATTTAGTCTTTAAAGTATACAATCTATATCACTTTGATTTCTAATCAGACAATTTTTTGACAGAAGTGATCACGTATAATTTTTTTAGACGATCTCACGTTCCCAACTATGAGCATTTTATCAAAAATTAAATGGTCCGTCTACGTAAGAACTAAAATGACACAAATAAAGTATTCTAGGGATCAAAATAAAAAAATTAATGCAATAAAAAATAAACTAATAAAAAATATATAATTTTGAGACCAAAAATATTATTATTATTATTTTTCCTTGCTACTTACGCACTTTTCAATTGGTCAAACCCGTTATTGGACATTCCTAACTTATGTTAAAGTGGTCAAATCCGTTAAAGGACACTACTAGCTTATGTTAAAAGGATGTATAAAAGTTGAACTTGCATGTGGTATCGAAATTTTGAATTTCAATATTTTACTAAAATTTATCGTATTTGTGGATAGTTTTATCATAGTTTTGGTATCCAAAAAAAAAAGTAAAATAGTTATCGTGATAAAAATATTCATAAATATAGTAAAAACACCTACAAATGTGATAAATCATCTATAAAAATAATACATTTTTTATACTTAAAAAAATAATAAAAATAATTACCATAAATGCAATAAAAAATACCTATAAATTTTTTAATTATAAAATAACCCACAAAAATTATAAAAATATCTTTTGAAGTAGTACAGTTTTTGAAGGCATGGTACGGTAGTAAAAAGTCCACAAAAGTTTCAGTTGAATTTGATTAACCGAATATTCTCTCTTTCTGTATCTCTGGATATAACTCAAAGTTTGGCTGTAATTTTTTGAAATGACAATTGTAAGCCTAAGTTGATGTTTCTGTTCTGAATGCAGAAGAAATTCAGAGAAATTCATCAGCCCGGAGTTGACGCCGGCTCCGACTGTCTATGAGCTTAAACAGAATCAGCAAGTAAAACCACATTGGAAATTTATTGTTTTTCACGTTAATATGTACATATCTATTCATTTTTTGTACTGAATGCATTTACGCCAAATAAAATAATAACAAGATCATTAAAATGTTTCATCATCGAAGTTCGTTTTTTCTCTTTATTGGTTTCTTGGTTTGCTTAATTAGTAACTCGCATTACCTTAAACTGCTCTAACAACTGGGTTCTAATGGAAATATGTGTATCAGGTGGTAATGAGCAATGGCATTGTCAATGTCACTCTGTCAACTCCAGCCGGCCTAGTCACAGGAATATCATACAATGGGATTGACAATTTACTACAAACCCATAACCAAGCCGATAATAGGGGGTATATTTGCACATTTATTTGCTTCAATTTTTTTGTTGGCCATTCTTTCTTCGGATGTATCAAGACTTCGAATTTGCGGCCAAAAATTTACAAACAGTACCATTTTCTTGACACGGTACCCAATATCATGTGCAATAATACTATATAAATACTAAATTTGTTGATCTACTTCACGATTATCAGAGATTGATAATGAAACTTATTTAATATTGAGACTCACTGTTAATTTAAGGATTAAATTAGTGATTTATGTCAAAAATAGTGTCTTTGTCTGTCGTTTGTTTGTGTTAATTAACTGTCATTTAATTTTTACTTGGGTTGTGCATTTTTGTGATTAAATATGACAAATGTAGGTATTGGGATGTTGTGTGGAACAAGCCAGGATCTACAACAAGTATGGACAAGTAAGTTCAACCCTCCTGTTATGATTTGGGCCCCTCATATATTTGCTCTCAATTTTCTTCATTTTTGATGATGAAGAATGGGTTCAAGAGAAAATTGTCCACGAATTCAGAGAAAAATTGATAAAAAAAGTGTTTTGCAGGCATCTAAATCTTCCCGTTACTGATACATTGGAACAATTTTTTATTTTTATGTATTTTTGGATTTGGGTTCTCTTCGGTACAATTTTCTTCAAATTTTCTTAATGATAGATTACACAGACTAGTTTGATGAAGGAATGATCGATCATTGAAGAAGATAAGATGTGTCGGATGGATCCGATTCCAGTATTTTCATAACTGAACTGTTCTGATAACTGATGTGCAGGTTATCAGGGACACGTTTTAAGATCATCATGCAAAATGAATATCAAGCGGAGCTTTCATTTGCCAGAACATGGAATGTTTCCCTCACTCAAAATGTTCCCTTAAACGTGGACAAAAGGTGCAGTGTGAATTTAGTAAATATACTTACCTGTGGTACTATAATGTTTGATTGGGATAGCATGTGTTAGTGATGACTAAGAATGGTAGTAGACTGGAAAAAAAAGAATATTCGTTTCGTTTAGACAGATGAACTATATATATTGAACGGTGAATGTATAAAAGAATATACGTATAAACCTGTGTGAGAATAGAGGTGGGGATGGATTGAAATTTATCCCCACCTCGCCCACTCCGCTAAACCCATTTTTTTTATTTTTCCGCTAAACTTATGACGCACATACACACATGGGTTATACTCTTTGTTAACTTANCCATATATATTGAACGGTGAATGTATAAAAGAATATACGTATAAACCTGTGTGGGAATAGAGGTGGGGATGGATTGAAATTTATCCCCACCTCGCCCACTCCGCTAAACCCATTTTTTTATTTTTCCGCTAAACTTATGACGCACATACACACATGGGTTATACTCTTTGTTAACTTATTTATTTATTTATTTTTGATTTTGATCATATCATGTGATATAGACATATAACTTGTACTTTAATTATTATGATTTTTTTTTCAAATCTTTTTTTTAAATTTTTTAAATTAATTGTTATGAGCAAGGACAATTGTATGGGTTAGAAGTTATATATAGGACATGGATGAAGATTAAAACTTGCTCAATTAATAGGGGTGGATTGGGAATTGAAGAAATTTTGTTAAGCGGGTACGGAGACGAAGACTAGTCCCCGTTCCTGCCATTCCTAGTGATTTCATAATAAGACAAATAACACTTTCTCCCCCCTCAAATATGGCCTCAAATTAATTTGCCCATCAACTATTAAATTTCTCATGTTGGCCCCTCAACTGTAGCCAGTGGTTTCACGCTGTCTCACAAGCAAATGCCCATTATCTTCTTTTTGACCAAAAATGTCCATGTGTCAGGACAAATTACACTTTGACTCTCTCCTCTATGGCTGCCTAATTACGTTATCCCTCAACCATCATATTTTTCACATTACACTCTTTTATTATTTGTGAATCCTGGATATTACTTCGNACTGTCCATGTGTCAGGACAAATTACACTTTGACTCTCTCCTCTATGGCTGCCTAATTACGTTATCCCTTCAACAATCATATTTTTCACATTACACTCTTTTATTATTTGTGAATCCTGGATATTACTTCGTGAACTTTAGTTTTGTAAACTATAGTTTTCATATTACACTCTTTACTGTTTGCAATTGCAAATCAGGTTTGTGATGCTGCGTGGGAGTCCAGGTTTCTATTCATACACAATACTCGAACACTTACAGGGGTGGCCTGATCTTAATATTCAAGAAGCAAGGCTCGTATTCAAGCTTCAACAGAAAAAGTAAAAAACCAACCACCTAATCATTTTGTTAGCTGGAGGCATTCTCGTTTTTAAAATCTTCAATAAAATTACCTAATTATCTTAATTTAGTNCTACTTAATCATTTTGTTAGCTAGAGGCATTCTCGTTTTTAAAATCTTCAATAAAATTACCTAATTATCTTAATTTAGTTTTTAACCTATGTATAGTATAGCAATCAGTCCCTTCTGTCTAATGACCGTTACCAAATGGAAAAACCAGAAAAATTAGAGTTTAAGGGGCAAACTGAAACTAGTTTCATGGTTTTTTCCNGTTTTTAACCTATGTATAGTATAGCAATCAGTCCCTTCTGTCTAATGACCGTTACCAAATGGAAAAACCAGAAAAATTAGAGTTTAAGGGGCAAACTGAAACTAGTTTCATGGTTTTTTCCATTTGTTTTCATGAAAAACTGGACCGAATGGACTGATTACTACGTGTTATGTTGTTTAAGTGCTAAAATTTTCTGAAAATGGTATAACACTTGGAAGAATTCGTAGAGTAGTCAGTGTTTTCTGGTCAATTTTTTGGCACCATGACTGAGATATTTGATTGATCATACGTGCGTATGATCAATATATATGTAGGTTTCATTTTATGGCAATGTCAGAAGAGAGACAAAGGATAATGCCAGCGGAGGCTGACCGGATAACTGGTCAGGTGCTTGATTACCCAGAAGCTGTTCTTTTAACTCAACCAACAAACCCAGACTTGAAAGGAGAGGTAGAGTAGTTGCCTTCCATAACATTCACCTCACAGCAATGGTAACTAAAATGTTTGCTTGTGTTCACAAAAAACTGAGTCCTTTATACATATATCGTATATGCTTAATGTATTATTAGATAAAAACGACATATTATAGATATATGTTTACAAGCTTAACATGTTGAACAAGTCATTACTCATACTCGAAAGAGCTATGAAATTTGAGTTTGAACTCGATTTGTTAGCTAAATTAACAAAGTTGAACGAAATTCTCTCTCAGCTGATTGTCAAACTGTTCATGAACAACACTGACTAGTTTGAAGCCCCAAATAATAAATGCAAATAAAAGCCCTGGATAGGAGGGCTCTATTCTGATACTATGGATTAGGAATAACTATATGTTGATAGAGCAATGTAAGCAATGAGTCAGAAAGATTGATTGTTAGCCATTGCCTTCTTTAATTGTGTATAAATATATACATGCAGGTGGATGACAAATATATGTACTCGTGTGAAAACAAAGACAACAAAGTGCATGGTTGGATAAGCAATGACCCACCAGTGGGATTCTGGATGATCACACCAAGTAATGAGTTTCGTACGGGTGGGCCCCTCAAGCAGGACCTCACTTCCCATGTTGGCCCAACTGTACTTTCTGTAAGTGTATNAGTGCATGGTTGGATAAGCAATGACCCACCAGTGGGATTCTGGATGATCACACCAAGTAATGAGTTTCGTACGGGTGGGCCCCTCAAGCAGGACCTCACTTCCCATGTTGGCCCAACTGTACTTTCTGTAAGTGTATATTCTGTCACAACTCGTAATCTCACCATTGCTTTGAATCTCAAAGTGTTGTCTGATCAAAATATATATTTATATATAAAATTTCTCGAAGTGTTGATTACGGCAGAGCAACCACATTTTCAATCACTGAATATAAATGGAATAACACTTCCGACAAAAATGTTTTAAGTTTTGAGTTTGGTCACTTTATTACTCACATTACAAAAAACAATAACTACGAAAATTCTAAATAGGATTCAAAAATTTGGCCCANATAACACTTCCGACAAAAATGTTTTAAGTTTTGAGTTTGGTCACTTTATTACTCACATTACAAAAAACAATAACTACGAAAATTCTAAATAGGATTCAAAAATTTGGCCCAAAATCAATGTACAATTAACAGGTATGACTTTAGACTTATATGGTTTGAATAATAGACGGATAGACCTACCAGATAAATGGGTTGCTATTAACACAGATGGCTAAACACAGCTTATAATAGATGCCATAAACATCGCTATAGACGATTATTAGTGCATTGTGTATATATAACTTGAATTTTTTTTGATATAATACGACTTACGTGAAAAAAATGACCGTAGACAACCNAGCTTATAATAGATGCCATAAACATCGCTATAGACGATTATTAGTGCATTGTGTATATATAAATTGAATTTTTTTTGATATAATACGACTTACGTGAAAAAAATGACCGTAGACAACCCCACTAATTCTTTCTTAAACAAAGCCATGTCGTAATGTTGGTGCGGGGCTATATATTCATGTACAGATGTTCGTTAGTACCCATTACGCTGGGGAGGATCTAGCAATGAAACTTCGAAATGGAGAGCCATGGAAGAAGGTTTTGGGCCCAGTTTTTATACATCTTAACTCGGATGCTTCAGCCAGTCAGAATCCTTCTATTCTTTGGAATGATGCAAAACAAAGGGTATTATATTTGGCCTTTGATCAACAACAAAATGCAATTAATTAAACTGTCTCTAACTATCTTTTTTTACTAGATGTTCAAAGAAACGGCAAACTGGCCGTACACTTTTCCACTTTCGAAAGACTTTGTGCATTCTGATCAGAGAGGAACACTTAGTGGTCAATTACTAGTCCAAGACTGGTACCTCCCTCGACTACCTTTTTACTTTGAGTTGGAAGTAACTAGGGTTATGTAATGTCCGAATGTATAATATTGTTCGATTAGGACTAAACTCAAACAGCTTTAATGCACGTCTAAACTTAGATTTGTAGAACACCTCACACCACACTTCACCAATTAATGTGCTACTAGGTCACCACAATCCACCAACTGGGACCACACTTAATCATGTGGGAAGCATCCAAACTCAAGTGGTGAGGGATCCCAGACAATGGTTCCCACTGCAGTAAGCCACTGTCCCATCGGAGCTTGTGTATATGTTGAAATATAAATACTTACGTTATACTTTTTTTAATAGTTTAATTTTTTGACTAAATGATTGTTTAACACCATAGACTCCACACCAGGCATTTTAATGACTAGAATAGCTATTGTAATGGCTTGGAGTTGTATTATATAATATTGTTGTTTTTGGGTTAGGCTTGCAAGACTCTAAAAGACTAAAACAAGCTGAGTAATAAAGGTTTATAATCCATGCTTATCAAACACTTCATGTAAACGATACGGGACTGGGTCACCACCGGCTGTCACAGAAGTACCATTCTTTTGTTGATTCAGGTACATCAACAAAAATCCTACCCCGGCATCCTCGGCTTATGTAGGATTGGCACCACCAGGAAAGGCAGGATCATGGCAAAGAGAAAGCAAGGTCTTTTTTTGTGCTTATTTGATCTCTCAACTAACTACAAAATGGATAATGGGTCTCGAATAAGTTTTTGAATTCTACCATTTTGCTCTTGTTTCTAGGGATATCAATTTTGGACCCAAGCAGATACTAATGGGAATTTTGCAATAAAAGGCGTCGTACCCGGAACTTATAGCTTATTTGCATGGGTTCCTGGTTTTATTGGGGATTACATATACAACTCTAATGTCACCATTAGACCAGGTATTAATNCGTCGTACCCGGAACTTATAGCTTATTTGCATGGGTTCCTGGTTTTATTGGGGATTACATATACAACTCTAATGTCACCATTAGACCAGGTATTAATTCCCAAGTTCTCTAATATTTCACAGATACTTTAGAACAAAAATAAGAACTTACAACTCACATATATATATATATTCTTGCTCGGTTTATGTTAAATTGTGTACTTTCTACTTAACTTCATTTGAGATTAAATGTAGGATCTAATATCAAACTGGGTGGGTTGGAGTATAAACCTCCAAGAAATGGTGCTACAATGTGGGAGATAGGCGTACCTGACCGCAGTGCTGCTGAGTTCTTTGTGCCCAATCCGAGCCCTAAGTTTAAGACTCATTCATACAGAATTAACATCGACAAGTTAGCTCCGAGTGATACAAATTTTCTATGTTTTGCCCAAAAAAAAAGTGCAGTTCTCACATGTGTATTTTTGTCGACTTATAGGTTCAGGCAATACGGGTTATGGGCGCGTTATGCAGATTTATATCCTCACAATGATCTGCAGTACACAGTTGGTGTTAGCAATTATAAAACAAATTGGTTCTTTGCTCATGTTACCAGGTATGTTTCTCGAATACTTAGCAATGTTTCTTGCTGGTTATGACTTGAAAGAAAGACCTCTTTTTTGGAATCAATCCCAACCCTGGACGTATGGGATGTTCAAAGAAGTTATGTACCTTCACTGAATGTTATAGATAAAAAGTCCTCTCATCCTAATCTCATCTACTAAAAAGGGAACAATGCGCAGTACGCATTTTTTTTTTTTGGGATATATGGCTATCAATCTAATGTTGAAATGCAGGAGCATAGGAAATCGTGTATACCGGGCAACGACATGGCAAATTATATTTGACCTTAGGAATGTGAACAAGGCTGGAAAATATACTCTCCAGTTGGCTATTGCCTCAGCAAACGATGCAGATTTACAAGTAAAATACTTACACACCTTCCAATTACTCGTGTCAAGAATATTTACGTAGCCTCATATTTAATCTCTCCCAGAATATGCNGGAAAATATACTCTCCAGTTGGCTATTGCCTCAGCAAACGATGCAGATTTACAAGTACAATACTTACATACCTTCCAATTACTCGTGTCAAGAATATTTACGTAGCCTCATATTTAATCTCTCCCAGAATATGTCGATAGACTTTGGTTTCCTTTAAGATAAATGATGTCACATTTTTTTGAGCTGTGATTTATCACATGAAACTATCTAAATTTCACCTGAAGTCCAGACTCATGTGAAATCATTCTTCTTTGAATTTTGAAATGCATCAGTAATCAATGTTTCGTTACTGAAAATTTACGCTAATTGAGTTTTTTTATGGATGCTAAGGTTCGGTTTAATAATCCACAAGTGGAGCCTGCTCACTTCAGATCAGGACGAATAGGCAAANTTTTTTTGAGCTGTGATTTATCACATGAAACTATCTAAATTTCACCTGAAGTCCAGAGTCATGTGAAATCATTCTTCTTTGAATTTTGAAATGCATCAGTAATCAATGTTTCGTTACTGAAAATTTACACTAATTGAGTTTTTTTATGGATGCTAAGGTTCGGTTTAATAATCCACAAGTGGAGCCTGCTCACTTCAGAACAGGACGAATAGGCAAGGATAACGCGATCGCGAGGCATGGGATTCATGGGTTGTACTGGTTATATAGCATTGGCGTCCCTGGCAGTCGGCTTGTGAATGGAANGATAACGCGATCGCGAGGCATGGGATTCATGGGTTGTACTGGTTATATAGCATTGGCGTCCCTGGCAGTCGGCTTGTGAATGGAAGAAACACAATCTTCCTAACACAGTCAAGCAATGCCGGCCCGTTCCGAGGAATCATGTATGACTACATCCGTTTAGAAGGACCTTCTCCAACAAATTAAGGCAATAAATTGTTGTATGTTGTATTCATAGTTTACTATGTTACTGTTAAAGAGATGTTTCTGTTTTAGTCCCTTAGAAGCTGCAGAAATCTTGATTTCTTTTTTTGTTGTAATTTTAGCATGTGTTATCCACATTTTTTGGCCAAGGAAATGCTGTTCACCTGTGTTTTCATTCTTTAACAACTATCTTTTTTTTTTTTAGAATCCATCAGTACTTTGGAATGATGCAAAACAAAGGGTATTATACTTTTTTTTTTACCGATTATTTATTTTTATTATTTTTTGTGGGGAGGGGAAGAGGGAGCTTGAACTTTTGACCTAAAGAAAGTAAAATTTTCACAAGATAAGAAATATCATTAGACAAAAGACCCGTTGATAAAATGTATTATACTTGACCTTCATTCAGTAAAAGAACATTCAAATCGTATCTATTGCCCACAATCTTTATTTGTTAGAAGATAAAAGAAACTGCAAGCTGGCCATACTCTTTTTCACTTTCAAAGGACTTCCTTCATTTTGATCAGAGGGGAATTGTTAGAGGGCAATTCTTCATCCAGGACTGGTTCTTCCTGTTGGGCCTTTTTCTTGTAGAGTTTAGTTTGTGTGTTGATCCGGATGATGATCCGATTCAAAATAATGTTGCGTGATTTTTTAGCCCTGTGTGCAGGATATATATAAATTGTTATTCGGTGATTAGAGTTTTGGATTGATTTTGTACGGCCACCACCCTCTCTGTATTCATTCTTGAGAACAGTGAAATGCCTGCAGTTTCGTGGACGTAGGCAAATTGCTGAACCACGTAAATTCTGTGTTATGTAATTGTTTGGATTGCATTCTTATCGTTCTTTTCATTAATTTTACTTTATTGTCATCGTTTGATTTCACAACACTTCCCTCTGTTACTTTCACTTCTATGCTCTATCATTATCAAGTATACGTAGTATTACGGGTGCAACTAGGACAGTCAATCTGAACCAGCCTGAGCCCAACTAGAGCTAATAAGTAGTTGGGCAAAAAATTTTCATACTGAGGTTATATTTGGACGAAAAAATCTGCACCCAAATTCATAACCGAGCAGTGTTTGGAGTCTTGACAGAGGTCTAGAATTTTGGCCAGTGTAACCGTAAAAATAGTATCAAACTGGGCGCCATTGATTTCTTTGTTTTAGGTACATCAACAAGGTATCTGTGCCAGCATCTTTTGCTTATGTTGGTTTGGCAGCACCAGGAGAGGGGGATCATAGCAGAGAGAAAACAAGGTCATTTTTTAGTTTATTTAAGTTCTTAAAAAGCTATGGCAAAAGTTGGGATTCTAGTTAGCCCACTAACTTCTATCATTGGCTTCTCGCTTTCAGGGTTATCAATTCTGGACCCAAGCGGACGCCAAATGGTCTTTCTTAATAAAAGGTGTCCGGGATAGAAATTATGGCTTGTATGCATCTGTCTACGGATTTCTTTGGGATGACAGATATGACAATTTCTAAGTCCTTTAGCATTTCTACAAAATAACATTGAAATCTTTGATATGTGGTGTGTTTGTCAATATAACACCATCTTTTCTGGCTGTGGTGGCATTATTGTTTTCTGACTTTCCTGAAATCCCCTGTGGACTATTCCTGTGTACAGTAATTCATAAGATACATGTATGTTGAGTAGGGGCTAAGGAATCTATGTTTTAGATGTAGTAATATGATTGAGCCAATGTTGAGTTTTTATTGATTTTGTTAGGATAGGTGGCTCATATTCAAAGTATGAAAAGTTATACCAGATCCAAGATAGTTGTCAGAGCGTTAGGAAACTAAACTAAACAAATAACTTTCAAATAATTTAGTAACGAAGACACAATGACATCACTGTCACATAGTGTTGTCGTCCAATAGCAAACTAAACTAGTGATTTTTACATGATTTAGTAACGGTGACACTATGACATCACTGCCACACAGTGTTGTCGTCCAATAACAAATTATACAAGTAATCTTCACATGATTTAGTAACATCTTATTCAGGTAAGATAATAATTATTTCATTTAAACTAATGAGGTTCACCTTTCGCATTTTTAAAATGATGTGACAAGAATGACGTGATGTTACTAATACACTATATTTAGTCTAGAAAGAGAGAGAGAGATCACCACTATTATTTGAGTTGTGATTTCAGTCTTGTGTATGAAAGTTAACTTCAACTCTCTGCGAAGAGAATCTACAAAGGCCAATTATAGCGACTGTTGGGGTCACCCATGGTGTCCTGTTAGCTCCTTAGACCAATAATAATCACTCTTTTCTTTTATTTATTTATTTGTTACTTCTTCTACACTAATCACCACCCACTATGCTTGAAATTCTGGTCTGTTGTTACTTGTACAATTTTATATTTTCAACTTTCTTTCCTCACCTAGCTTTTAGAGAAAAGACCGTAAGCCTCAAAATCAAAGCTTCAATTTTCAACTGGCATCATTTAACGTGTTTTTTTTTCTTCTTCTTGTTATTAGACCAGTCAAGAAACATATTTTATTCAAAGACCAGTTAGTTAGATATGCACTAATATCAATGGGTCTTTGGTCCAATAGTACTCCTTATCTTGTAAAATTTTATCTTCTTGAGGTCAAAGGTTCAAGCCCCTTTTCCACCCTCTCCCTCTCCCTCCCAAAAAAAAAAAAAAGATATGCACTAATACTTTGATAAAAACAAATTAGTTCTATTATATTCTATTTTACGTATTTGGATAAAAATATATCTTTTTTTTTTTACATATTCAATCTGTGATCTGATTCTAATTTTACATTTATCTATTATTATCTAATGACATTTACAAATTGTATTTTGTTAATGACGAATTCGGTTATATAGACTATATGAAAATAAAATACATTAAATTTCGTATTGAAATATGAGCGTGACTTTACCGAGGGATACATGTTTTAAGATGACCACAATTGTACGCATGAGAAGACCATATTCAAATGTTTGAAACATCAGCGATTTTATTCCTCTTTCAAGCACGCAACGCATAAAAACATCATGGAAGTGACAAAGAATTTCAAAGACGGGTAAGCTGAGGATACCGCTGCTAAGAGATGTCAATTTTGTACATCATCTCTTAACCCAATAAAAAAATTGATACGAATTAACGAGTTTGAACTTTGACGTATCGAAATCAGATGATCAACATGTGAACCTATCAGACCTGTCAATCAAAAGTAGTCAACATCAACTCAGCTCCAGCTAAACACAGCTTATATATGACATGAATTCGAATATACTTGATTATAAATAGATCGAGTATGATTTGAACAAATTTGACATGAGACAACTTTAAATATGACAAGAACCCAATATGTAGACCCATTGAGAGCCTTAACCACTATTGTATAACATCTACAAATGCGTAGACACGAATTCATATCTTATACAATTAAGTTTTCGTCTACCTGCTGCTTTGCCTAATCAAACTTGCCTACTAATTGTTCTAGCGAAAGAAAAATGACACTTCACCTATGAAATTCTGCCAAACCTTCGCCTTTTGATTCACTTAGGTTCGACTCGAGTTTAGTTGTGGAGATCAAAAAAATAGTATTCAAAAACTATTATTTGAAAAAAATTTTGAAAACTGTTTTTAGTATTTTTTTTGTCTCACAGAACTTGTTGGTTATATGATTCTAAAAATAATTCTACAGAATACAAAATATTAAAAATTATTTAGACAATAATTCAAAAAATAATGAAAACAAAAATATGGTGGTGGTGGTGTGATTGACATGGTGGTGGTGATGATGGAAGTGTTGGTGTTGGTGTTGGTGTTCCTGGTGGTGGTGGAAGTGTGGACGTGGTGATGGTGGTGTGGTGGACGTAGTGTTGGTGGTGGTAGAAGTATGGTGGTGGCGGTGGTCGTGTTTGTTTTCTAAATTTATCCAGTTTTTATTCTCATATTTAAAAAAAAAAAAAAACTAGTCAAATAACTTTTGTTTTAGAAACTATTTTAAAAAACAGAAAATAGTTTTTGAAATGTAAACTTAACAGGCCTAACTTTTTACTCAAGCTTAACTCATTTTTTGGACCTTATGATTTCAATACAACTCAGATTGATTTTAGATTTAAAAGTGTGGATTTGAGCTGAGACTCAAATGAATCTAAAAAATAACTTGCAATTACTCAAGCTTTGCGAATCCGGTGAAGAATTGCTAGTGGTAATTAATATAGAGTAATGTTATAAAGACTTTATTTAGGGATCTAATAATATGACTTTAATACAACAATTAGATTAGTTGTGGGTTCTAATGTTAATTAGAACCCACAACCAATTTAATAGTTATATATCATTAAATCTATAAATAAGATCCAAATAGCATTTTCCATTAGTATATTCCCTATGTTGTAGTTATATCTGCCTTGTTGAATTTCTATAGTTCAGCCCATTGTGCCGTACGTCCAATCACCATTTGATAGCAATTGTCAAAGTTTAGTCCAACAGCCCAAATGCCGTCTCTTTGTTTCAAAGAATCAGTAATTCGATATCATTTTTAATGCAAATTGTTTGACAATTCCATTGTGTTTCAGTTGAGACATGGATGATGAAACCAACAAACCCACCAAAACATCAAATAAAATTAGGACAAATTACACTTTGATCCTCTCAATTTTGTCCCTTCTTTTACAGTGTTTCTTCAACTATCATTTTGCTTACATTATGCCTTCAACTATGCTATTAGTTTCATATTACCTGAATTATTAATGTCTCTTATAAATTTGATGAAAAGTTATTTTATTTTACCCTCGTATTATAAGAGATAGTGAAGGAAGCCAAATGGTTGAAAGGTTTGGTTAACAATTTGTAGAAGTGTCAAACGTGTGACTCATATGTTGTGTCATTGTTATACGTGTCGTGTTCACGTTAAGACCCACAAAAAAAATATATTTAATGTGTTCTGAGTATTAAACATTAGTTTAAACTATTTATTATGCGTATTTAATAATCGTGTTAATTTTATAACCATTCATATCGAGTTTGTATCACCGGTCAGAGTTGACACCCCTAATAATTTGGGTCTAGAACAAAAGTTAATACTGTGTACTGTGACAGTCAAATTGCCATGCATCTTACTAAGAATCAAATGTTCTATGAGAGAATCAAACATATCAATGTTCGGATGCACTTCATTAGAAATGTTATTTCTCAGTGTACTATTGCAGTGAAGAAAATTGCTATTGTACAGAATCCAATAGATATGATGACGAAGATCGTTTCAACAAACAGGTTCGAGTGTTATTTGGACATAATCAACATCGTACCAGTTTGAGTGTCTTGTGAGGTGCATTGGAGATGCTGATCAAGAATGAGTTTTCGAATGGCTTGATCGACTTCTGTCTAAAGTGGAAAATTGTTAAAATAATGACTAGAAATAAAGACTTTTGGCCAAAGAGATAAAACTTTGCCAGGAAAATCAATGGTTTGATAAGGCTGCATTAAATGTAAGGAGATTTCACATGAATTATCAGAGGCAATTTGTTAAACGGCTACTACATGCGCGGATCAAATTCAATCTGCCAAATTGGATTTAGCTTGGATGCTTCCTCTCCAAGTTCCCTATATAAAGGAATGCCCAGGCAGCAGTTTGAAGCATTGAAAATCAGAAACCTTTGTGAATGTAGATCGTGAGGCATCTAAGAGTTATAAGTGATATCAACAAGGCCAGAGTGCATTCCCTCTAATAGATGTGAGTCTTTGCGAGGAAAGAAACAATTGCTCTTGTACTGTTATTTTACATTCGATCATTATTTGTTGTAGATATAGACAATGACCAAACCATATAAATTTTTTGTGTCTATTTATGTGTGGCTTATTTATTTTTTGTCACTTTATTGTTTATCTCGGTACTCTAATCATGGGTCTATCACAACACCTATCATACCTGTTGATGGACAAAAGTGTTTATGCAAAATCAATAAAAGGATGAAGTAAGAAGGTCTCAACACATGGAAATACAAAGATTGGTTGGATTCGGTCTAGGTGACCAACTCCACTAAGAAGGGCTATAGTGGTCAGAAAATCTTATTATTTGAGAGGTATAGTGTGTTGAGATGTGTGTGGTGTCCCCCATATGAAGGTAGAGTTGATAATTTATTAGGGAGTACAGTCTTCATGTTGTCTTAGAGCGGGGTTTGATGGAGGTTATCATAGGGAGTTCTGATTAAAGTGTCACCCTTGTGACAGGAGTGGGTGACTCTGTGATGTTGGCGTTGTTATGAAATATAAGGTTATTTTGTTTATTAAGGATAGAATAGTCCTTTACTTTTCCTACCTTGTTTAGCTTATATATAGTCTTTTTATATTTAGGTTAATTTACTTACTTGTATTCAATTGAATTATGCAGTATCAATAAAACTCTAGTCTCCTCTTTTCTT